AATGACATCTAACTTCAGAGACACAAGAGGATTACCTTCTTACAAGGTAATCAAGGCTTGCTTTGTCTACGGGGCACTTTTCATGGCAGCCAGGGTTACAAAGCCAGAGCAAAGACTTCAGAAGGCACAAGACTGCGGCTGCTCCTCTCAAGTACACCCAGAACAAACCGAACAACCAAGGACACTTCACATGAAGCTGTAACCAGTTCCTTAGGTTTACTGCTGGTTCTCACTTTCAGGGTGTCTAAATATGCTCCACCATCCACTTGCACCAGCCTTCACATGGCTAACACCTCTGGCCCCAGCTTAGCTGCCTTCCCCTGAAGCTCCCACTGCTGTGTTCCTAGGGCACTTTGTACCTCCTCCACCAAGCACCTAAGCATCTAGGGTTTTTTTCTCTCCATTTTTTCTTACTGTGTGTGTGCTGGCGTGTAGGTGTGCATAGGCTGCAGAGGTGAGTCAGCTGTAGAAGTTAGCGCCACGTAGGCAAGTCCCAGGGATTAAACACATCATCAGTCTTGGCTTGGTGCTTTTCCTAATAAGCCAGCTATCCTGGCTAGAGTTAGTTGTCTGAGAAGAGGGAAGGAAGCACAATTGAGAAAACTGTCTCCATGAGAAGGATCAGTAGGCAAGCCTGGATGAATGGCATTTCTTAGTGATTGACGTGGGAGGGCCTAGTCCACTGTGGGCTATGCTACCTTTGGGGAGGTGGTCCTGGGATGCATAGAGCAGCAGGCTGAGCAAGCCATGAAAAACAAACCCTTAAGTAGTTTCTTCATAGCCTCTGTTTCAGTCCCTACTTCTTCTTCTTCTTTTTTTTTTTTTTTGAGACAGGGTTTCTCTGTGGCTTTGGAGGCTATCCTGGAACTAGTGGTTCCTGCCTTCTTTTGGGATGGACTGTGATATGTAAGTGTAATTGAAAATAAACTCTTTCCTCTCCAAGTTACTTTTGATCATGTTTTATCACAGCAATAGAAATCTTAACTAATGAGAGATGGCTCATTGGTTAAGAGCACTGAGGACCTGGGTTCAATTCCCAGCACCCAAATGGCAGTTCATAAATGTCTGTAACTCCAGTTCTAGGGGATCGGACACCCTCACTCATACATGCATGAAAATACTAATGAATAGCAAGAAAAGGAAGGAAGGGAGGAAGGAAGGAAGGAAGGAAGGAAGGAAGGAAGGAAGGAAGGAACGAAGCATAACTAAGACAGAAATAAATGTTTTTTAAAAAAGTATTTTAAAAGTTGGGCATGGCAACACATGCCTGTAATCCCTGCACTTGGGAAACAGAGGCAGGTGGATCTCTTATGAACCAGCCTGACTACATAATCAGACCCAGGCTCAAAAACATAAACATACTTTAATAAAGTGATCAGTTGATCAGTGTTGATAAATGCTCCAAGATCCATTTGGTTTCCTGGGTGAAACCAATTCAAACCTGTATTACCTGCCTTCCTTAGTTGTGCTGGACCTCTTGGCTACAGATCTGCCTTGATCAGCCTATCATAAAGCAAAGGCATTCATTTAAACTCAGGCCACAGAAGCCTATTTACAGTCAACCAAGATCCCAAGAAAATGAGTCAACCCCTTAAGGACACCTAACTCCACCCCTGAGCCGGAAAAAAACAGACCTTTCAAAATGTGGGTTTTTTTCTCTCTGCTATCCCACTAATAGGTCTCTGGAGTTTGGTCCCTTAGAAAATCTGATGTAATAAATAACTAAGATCTCTAGACAAAAAAAAGCAAGCATTTGTGAACGGAAAGGGATATTTGGTTCAGTGCTTGCCCACCATGTGTGATACCTTGAGTCCAGCACCAGGCTGCCCCAAACCATGTTTGGAGAAAGAGTTCTAGGATTTGTTGGTTTTTTTTTTTTTTTTTTTCTTTACCTTTTCTAGTTTTTCATGACAGGGTTTCTCTGTGAAACAACCCTGGCTGTCCTGAAATTCACTCTGTAGACCAGGCTGGCCTCGAACTCACAGAGCTCCACCTACCTCTGCCTCTTGAGTGCTGGGTTTAAAGGTGGGAGCCACCATGCCCAGCTGGAATCTAGGATTTCTTATGCACCTACTGTATGCTTGGCACTTGGTCTATATACTGCTGAGAATATATTGAATAAAACACATTATCCTTGGCCTGAGAGTGTAGCTCACTGGCAGACTACTTGCCCACCAAGACCTGGGTTGGAGCCCTATCACCACAAAAAGACAAGTCCCTCAAAAGACAAACAAAAGACCTCTGTCCTCACAGGAGTGCAGACTGTAAACAGGAATTTCATTTTATATATAGAAAAATGATTTTGTTCTAGAACCCAATGAACACATACTTTGTTTTTATACTCTAGTTTTCCTGTGGTGGTCTCCACACACAGTTCTAACAAGGAGTAAGAAGGGAACTGAGGAGGGGTGTTTAAGAACAAAAAGGGAAGTCGGGCGTTGGTGGCGCACACCTTTAATCCTAGCACTCAGGAGGCAGAGGCAGGTGGATTTCTGTGAGTTCGAGGCCAGCGTGGTCTCCATAGCGAGTGTAGGATAGGCTCCAAAAGCTACACAGAGAAACCCTGTCTTGAAAAACCAAAAACCAAAAACCAAAAAAAAAAAAAAAAAAAGGGAACTGGATTGTGCCTGCTAAGAACATGTGGTGGGTGCTCTGCTTTTCCATTGCATCAAGTTTTTCCTATGCTAAAACCCTGAAGCAGTGATAAATGTTCCAAAGCCCTGTTTTCTGTGAAAACACTGTAGGAATTCTTAACCTTCATCATGGATGTCACCCCCTTCCCTCCTGTTATCACCACGGCACCCTCTTCTCTACCCCACTCCCAAAAGGAAGACAAAACTTACTGTTCTTAATGAATATTTGGTTAAGGATGAAATGAAAAGATATTTTTACCAAAGGGATGGAAACATCAAAGACAAAAAACACTGCTCATCTAGAAGATTCACAAGCCATTTAGTGTGCTTTAGTCACGAGTTTCCTAGTACTTGGAGAAAAAAAAATACTTAAGTTTTCTAAACTATGCAGACATTAGACTGCAGCTTTAAACTCCCTTTTCTGGAAACCCATATGCAGCTAGGGTGGGGAGGTCCATATTGGTAATCCTAGCCCTTGGGAGGCAGAGGCAGGGGGCTACCTGGTCTACACAAATGGGGCTAGCCAGCACTACAAAGCAAGAACTTATTTCGAATACCAAGGGAAACCACCCCCAATAAATGAACAAATAAATAAGAGACAAGAAAACCCACTGGTAATGGACTGCTAAATGCAGAGTCCTTGAGCACTTGTTTGTTGTCACACGCCTGTCCGCAGACCCTAGGCTGTACTTTATAATGATCCTTTCTGTTGACTGAATTTAGATTGTGAAGTCGAGCTGTGAAGCCCAGCTGGCCTATGCTGTCTGTTTCTGATGCATCTAGGACTACTAGAATCATAATATTCCTAAAACTTCATATATTTAAAAACTAAAATGTACAGCACATTTAAAAATATTAAGTAAATTTCCCCAAACTGATTATATGCACTGAAAAACCCCAGAAATTCCTTAAGCCAGGTATGCACTCAAGAGGCAAGGTATGAGAACCAAGAGGCCAAGTACATTCTCGGTTACACAGAATTGGACACCAGCCTGGGCTACAGGAGACCCTGCCTCAAAAAGAGGGTGGAGGAAGTGACCTGAACTCGTGTTTTGTTTAACCCTTTCCATAAACCCTACAGCACCTAATTTGTGGATTATAAGTGCAATGAGAAAAGGCTTTCTCATTGGATAAATATTAATGTACACTTTAGGTTCACGATTCTGACTTCCTGAGACGAAAAGCCCCGGTTCACACCACGAAGGTCCTCAAAAGGCAAGCTGGTCTTTCCCAACAGTGTCTTTCCTAATATATACTGTGGGACATTCCTTCGAGTTGGAAAACATAATCAAACAGCTTTCAGCCTTTGCATAAAATTCTGCCGGAAGCCGAGCGTTGGTGGCGCACACCTTTAATCCCAGCACTCGGGAGGCAGAGGCAGGCAGATCTCTGTGAGTTCGAGGCCAGCCTGGTCTCCAGAGCGATTGCCAGGATAGGCTCCAAAGCTACACAGAGAAACCCTGTCTCGAAAAAAATAAATAAATAAAAACTCTGCCGGATTAATCGGTGAGAACCCCAGGAAAAAAGGGGCTGCCGAGAAGGGAGGAGAGTCGGTTGGAGGCTCCGTGACAGCGGTCACGTGAGATGCGGTGCAACCCCGCTTCCCCGAGCGAACTGCCGGCACCCAGAGAGGCGGCGGTCCGAGGGGGGCTCCTCGGCAGAGCTCCGGCCGTCCTAAGCCCCGGCTGTGCCGGAGCCAAACGCCAGCGCAGCCCTCAGGGCGTCCCGCGGCCGCGCGGCCCCCAGCCCTCACCTGCTTCTGCACGTCTGCATCGCTGAGGGCCATGGCGAGGGCGAAGCTCGGCCACGGGACCGCCTCGAGTCTGGGCTTCTAGCGGCGGCGGAGCAAACCAGAGACGAAAACCCAGGGTCGGGCTCAGCTTCCTTTACTTTATAACCCCAGTTTCCGGTTCCTGTCAGGTGACCAGGCGGCCCGAACCTTTCCAACCAATAGAACGAGAACTGTACCCTCGGAAGTTCCGCCCTTCCTCCCATGCGCATGCGAGGACTGTCCACCAGGGGGTCTTTTTTTTTTTCCCAGTTGACTCGTGATTGCTTGTCAAGGACAAAATACTTCATTAGAGAACGGAAAGAGCTTTAGAGATTTTTGTATCAGATATTAATCAGAATACTTCTTCAGTGGTCGCTTTTGTAAAACAATTTTTTGTTTTATTTTTTTCAGGCTGGCCTCCACCTGCCAAGTGCTAGAATTATGGATACGCACCACTGTAAAAAGTTTAGATAATTTACTCAGAGCTCAAGGGGGAAAAAAAAAAGCCTGTTGTGAAGGGTCACACCTTTAATCCCAGCCCACAGGAAGCAGAGGCAGACAGGCCAGCGGGGTCTACAGAGTAAGTTCCAGGACAGCTTGGGCTACACAGAGAAACCCTGTCTCAAACAAGCAAATAAACAAAAGTTTACCCAGAGCTTGAAATGGAGCTCAGTTTGCAGAATGCTTGCCTAGCACACACAAAGACTTGGATTTCTGTGAGGTGAGGACTAATCACAATCCCAACACTCAGTCAGAGGCTGGGAAATCATTCCAGCCCTAAATTGCACATCATTCCTTGACATTGGAAATTTGAGGGTGCCCGGGCTAGAGATTGAACAAGTGTTTTTATTTAAACCAAACCATGGGGCTACAGACAAGGCTCAGTGCTTAAGCGCACTGGCTCCTCTTCCAAAGGCCTCGGGTTTAATTCCCAGCAGCCCTATGGCAGCTCACTATTGTAACTCCAATTCAAGAGATCCAATGGCTTCCTGGGTACCGGGCATAAAGGCAAAACACCTATAACACATTTTAAAAGAACAAAACAAAATCCAAACCAGATTTAGCATTAATAAAAATAAAGTATGTCTCAGGACAGCCAGAGCTATTACACAGAGAAATCCTGTCTCGAAAAAATAAATAAATCGTTAAATAAATTAGCCTTTCAATGTACCAATATGCAGCTTCAGTGCAGTACTGATGTTGTTTGGTTCAGGAGGACTTGCAGCCAATGTACTACGATAGGGAGAAAACATTTCCATTCCTAACCCATCAAGTTTTACATTACCCTTGGAATTACATGGATACAAAATAGGTATACAAATCAAATACCGATAATAAATCATAAATTAAAAAAACTATTGTTTTGAGCCGGGCAGTGGTGGTGCATGCCTTTAATCCCAGCACTTGGGAGGCAGAGGCAGGTGGAACTCAGTGAGTTCGAGGCCAGCCTCGTCTACAGAGTGAGTTCCAGGACAGTCAGGACTATTACACAAAGAAACCCTCTCTTGAAAAATACACACAAAAATGTTTTATGTAATTTATTAAAGTCTGAAGCAAATTTTCGTACTAATGAATGGGTATGTTTGTTTAATTTTATGTAAAAATTAAATCATGGCTGAATATTTGATACCTAAAGATACACAGCATCTAAAACATTTTCAGAGCAGATTTATGTTTTGATTTTTTTTTTAAGATTTTATTTATTATGTATAACAACATTCTGCTTCCATGTATATCTACACACCAGAAGAGGGCACCAGATCTCATAACGGATGGTTGTGAGCCACCATGTGGATGCTGGGAATTGAACTCAGGACCTCTGGAAGAGCAGTCAGTGCTCTTAACCTCTGAGCCATCTCTCCAGCTCCTATGTTTTGATTTTTATACTGCCAATGCTGAGAATGGTCACTTCAATAGACAAGTACTATAAAATGGCAAAAGTGCTAGGGTCAGTTCAGAAATTCTTGGAAATTCTATCCTAATCCCAAGACTGAATTCATTTAGTAGTCTATGAAATTCAAGTTAGCAACTCAAATGGTATTTTTTTAAGATTATAATACAATTTCAAAATGTTCTAACTATACTCCCTGCCAGCAGGTCATTAAAGGTGTGCACCACTATGACTGGCTAAATATACTATATTTTAATTATTTATTTTATGTTTCATCTACATGTATGCTTGTGGACACCTGTGCATGCTGGTGCCCACTAAGGCCAGAAGGGGTGTTGGATGTCCTGGGACTGGTGTCCCACATGGTTATGAGTTACCATATGGGTGCTGGGAAACTGACCCAGCTTCTCTGTAGGAGTAACAAGTGCTCTTAACCACTTCTCCACCCCTCAGATGATGGGATCCTGAGTGAGGAGGGAGAGTAAGACAGGTTCTTTTTGTTGTTGTTGCTGTTTTTGATTTATTTATTTTTTGTATGTATGCCTACACGCCAGAAGAGGGCATCAGGTCCCACATAGATGGCTGTGAGCCACTATGTGGTTGCTGGGAATTGAATTCAGGACCTCTGGAAAAAGAAGTCAGTGCTCTTAACCACTAAGCAATCTCTCCAGCCCCAGCAGGAAAGTTTTTTTAAAAAAATTGTCTTCCATAACTAAATCATTACAATTCTGTAAAAGAAAGCCACGTATGTATAATAAGAGCACTGCAATTCATAATATACAAGTCTTGAATCTAAGCTAAGGTGTCTTGGGCAGTGTTCCATGGTATAACACAGTACGAAGACATCACAAAGCAAAATGCCCCTTGTTATGTGTTCAGAACCAAGGCTGTAGTGAGGTCCTGTGCAAAGCAATACAGGAAAGCTCTGCCAGAAAAACTTTGGATTTATTCCTGTTTGACTTGGATTAAGTTTTGAGCTTTGGTCCAGTGGTGGCGGCGGCGGCGGCGCACGCCTTTAATCCCAGCACTCGGTGGCAGAGGCAAGCGAGTTCGAGATCAGCCTGGTCTACAAGAGCTAGTTCCAGGACAGCCTCCAAAGCCAAAGAGAAACCCTGTCTCACCCCCCACCCCCCGCCAAAAAAAAAGTTTTGAGCATTATATGTTCAAAAAACTTTTACCATTGCCAAAATTTTTGTGACCCACACTTTTAGTTATAAGACCCCAAATAGAGTCACAACATTTTAAGAAACTTGGTGGGTGGGGTGGGTGTGCGCACTTGAGCATACAATAGAGAGTTGCTCAGTGGTTAGTTAAGAGCACTTGCTGCTCTTCCAGAGGACGCAGGTTCAGTTCCCAGCACCCACATCAGGTGGCTCACAACTGCTTATAACTCAGCTCCAAAGGATCCCACACTCTCTGGCCTCTGTAGGCCCCTGCATACATGCTGCACATAAACTCATATAAGTAAAAGTGAATGAATCAATCTTTTAAAAAGGAAAGAAAAAGAAACCAGAAGCTAGTGAGATGCCTTAGCAGGTAAATGTACTTGAGGTATGAGCCTGGTGACCTGAGTTCAATTCCTCGATCCACAGAAAGGTAAAAGGAAAACACTGACTCCACAAAGTTGTCTTCTGACAGCCATACATGCACTGCAGCATTCAAGAGCTCCCCCTTCTCTTTCTCTCTCTCTCTCACACAAAGGCTAACAATTAAAAATGTGTAAACTAAGCTGTAGCCCATAAACTTTCAATATATTTTGTTGTTGTTTAACATCTATTTATTTATATGTGTATAGTTGTGGTGTGTATGTGTGTCATCACTGGTGTTCTGCAGCTCGAGTGTGGAGGTCAGAGGACAACTTGGGGGAGCTGGTTCTCTCTTTCCACCGTGTGGGTTCTAGGAATTGAGCTAAAGTCATCAGGCTTGGTGGCAAGCGTCTTTACCCACTGAACCATCTATCTCCCCGGCCCTTCCTTTTTGAGACAGAATCTCATGTAGTCCACACTGTCCTTAAACACACTATATAGTTGAAGATGACCTTGAACAAGCTATGGGTTCAATCCCCAGCACCTAGTAAACTGGATCTGGTGGCTCATGCCAGTAGTCCCAGCACTCAGGAGGGGGAGGCAGGAGAATCAAATCTAAGATCTGTCTACAGTCATATCACACTGAACCTGTCCAATCCCATCACAAGTTCAAGGTCACCTTCAGCTACAGGGTGAGCCTGAGACCAGACTGGGCTGCACGAGACCCTGTCTCAAAACAACAACAAAACATTAAAAAATGCTAGGGTTAGATGTCCGCACCATCATGCCCAGCTTCACTTCCCTTTTTCTATGTGCTATTGATGACACTGTTGGTTGGAGTCTCAGAACCCGCTCTGTATCTGGGATCTGGGGGATTTCCCAGTTGTAACATAAAAAAACAAAACATCCAGAGACTGATATTGGGCTTCAAACTTCAAGTTGAAGATCAGAAAAGTAAAGCAGCAGGCCACTAGATTTTGCCACTACCTCAGGCTGAATGGCTGATTCTGCTGCCTCTCAGTGTGGCTAGAGAATGAATACCTCAATACTGAAGACCCTGCTTCTATCTTTTATAGCCCTCTAGTGCTGGGATAAAAGATGTGTGATCTGTTACTCTTTTAGACAGATTCAATCTCATGTATCTCTGGGTGGCCTTGAACTCAGAAAGATCCATCTACCTCTTAATCCAGAGTCCTAGGATTAAATGTGTGTACCACCACATCCTAGCTTTTGGCTGCTGGGATTAAAGGTGTGTGCCTGGCTGCTATGGTTTGTGGCTGACTTTGCTTTAATGGATCATAAATAATATATCACTACACCAGTTGTTCTGGTTTTGGTATGTTAAAGTTACAAATTATAATTGGACTAAGAAATTTTCCTTAAAACTTTTTATAGTACTACACTACACCCTCAATCCAGAAAGGTTTTTTGTTTGTTTAAGACAGGGTATAACGTATCTCAGGCTGGCCTTGGAACTAGCAATGTTGCCAAGGATAACATTGACTTTACCTTCCCGCCTCCATCTCCCCAATGCTGGGATTTCAGATACGGCTCTGTTCAATATTTATGTGGCATTAGGAATTAAACATATGCCCTGAGCATGCAAAGCAAGTGCTCTAACCAACTGGGCTGGAACAGCAGACCTCTGTTTCTGAGTATCTTCTGATTTTTAAGGAGTGCTGCCAGGTATACCATCAAGTTTTATTTTTTTAGATGAGACATCTCTATGTTGTCTAGGCCTGTCTCTGACTCCTACATCCCCTGCATTCAGGAAGCTCAGCTATGGAGATCTTTGCCACAGGAATAACACTGACAGGCCAGTGCTGTGCAAGCTGAGAATGAATTAAGACCAGACTGACAGAAAAGAGGGATTTAAAGAGATACTGCAAAAACAGACAAGTTTAGCCAGGCATTGGTGGCAGGCGGATCTCTGTGAGTTCGAGGCCAGCCTGGTCTACAGAGTGAGTGCCAGGATAGGCTCCAAAGCCTATTCAAAAAACAACAACAACAAAAAACAAACAGGCAAGTTCACCAGGAAGGGTTTGCTCTGCCTGGGAGTTGGGGGGGGGGAGAGAAAGCTCTTTTTGTTTTTGTTTTTTAAGACAGGGTTTCTCTGTATTGCTTTGGAGGTTGTCCTGCAACTCGTTCTATAGACCAGGCTGGCCTCGAACTCACAGAAATCTGCCTGCTTCTGCCTCCCGAGTGCTGGGATTAAAGGTGTGAGCCACCAATGCCTGGCAAGAAAGCTCTTTTTAATGTATTGGTTGGTTTTGTGTCAACATGACATAAGCTAGAGTTATCAGAGAGGAAGGAGCCTACATGAGATCCAGCTGTAAAGCATTTTTCTCAATTAGTGATCAATGGAGGAGAGCCCAGCTCATAGTGGATGGTGCCATCCCTGGGCTGGTGGTCCTGGGTTCCATAAGAAAGCAGGTTGAGCAAGCCTCAGGGAGCAAGCCAGTAAGCAGCACTCCTCCGTGGCCTCTGCCTGCTTCCAGATTTCTGCCCTGTTGAGTTCCTGTCCTGTCTTCCTTTGGTGGAGAACAGCAGAGTGAAAGTGGAAGCCAAATAAACCCTCTTTTCCTCAACTTGCTTTTTGGTCCATGGTGTTTTGTTGCAGCAATAGAAACCCTAACTAAGACAGTAGTTAAGAGGAAATATTTTGTTGGTGGTGGTTTTGTTTTGGAGACAGGGTTTCTTTATGTGTGGCCCTGGCTGTCCTGGAACTCAGTCTATAGACCAGGCTGGCCTAGAACTCAAACTGTTCTACTTACCTCTTCCTCCTGAGTACTGGAAATAAAAGCATGTGCCACCACGCCCAGCGAAAGGATAGTTCTTATGTGTTATCGGGTGGTTTCACCTGATACTGATAGATACCGTGTGGGTTCATATCCTTATGGTTAGGCAGATAACTCATTTTGATGAAGAATACATTTTTTTTCTCTCTGGGACCTGTGTGGTGGAAGGAGAGAACCATCAACTCTTGAAAGTTTACCTCTGACCACCACATGAAAGTCATAGTGTACAGGCAATCACCACCATACACACACAAATAAATAAATGAAATGAAAGAAACTTTAGGTAAATGTGACCCGTGTTAATGCTCAGTTTTGGAATGGCAGAACATGGTACACAATTGTCTAAAATTTAGATTCTGGATTACTCTACTGGTGACAAGATCTCTCTGTATAGCTCAGGCTGGCCTCAAACTGGAGACTGGAGATGCTATTCTGAGATGGACGGCTGTGGTAATCTATTTTAAGGCTGCTTTAGCCTCACAGTAGCCCCCTGCTGCCTCTGAGCAGGACCTCAAACTGCTTAACAAACCCTGGCTGCATGCAACCTAGTGCCTTTTGAAAGTTCCTCTTTTTAAGGAACAGGCTCAAACCATCAGAAACTTGACCCCCTAATGATTCATGCCTGCCATGCATAAAGTCTCAAGAAGAGACTGACTCAGTTGTCAAGTTTGGTTGCAAATGCTTCTTTTCCATCTTAGCCATCTTGTCAGCCTAAGACTTCTTGTTTATCCCTTAGTTTAGAGAGGAGGTCTTTCTGCCTCTGAACTCCTGGGCTGAAATGATCTTCCTGCACATACCACTGTGCTCACTTTAAGTGAGGGGATGGTAAAGAAACCCCAGAGAGTGGTTACTCCACGCTTAAGGGTAAGGGCATCTGGAAGAGTCCAGAGCTGAGAGAAAAAGAAGCAGACTGGACACGGCCAGGACTAGGGAATCTGACATGGCAAAATCATGGGACATATAAGGAGGATGGGTAGGAGGTGAGAAAGGCCAAGACTCTGAGATGTGTAACAAGTTTAAACAAGGGTTTAGGGAGCCTGGAGGTTTAGGCAGCATGGGCTTTGACATGTAACCACAGGAGTTTGCCAACGACAGTCACAAGTCCCTTCTGCCAGAGGCAAGGGAAACGACCCCTTTCAGCAGACTTTGTATCTAACTGCCAAGAAATCCTATAGTCTAGCCTGGGTGGAGCCAAGACTGCCCTTTCTGGACATATGCACTGAGATCTGACACTCACCACTTTATTTTAAAAGTAAATTAAGTCAGCTGCCTGGTGGTGTCACACACTTTTAATCCCAGCACTCAGGAGGCAGAGACAGGCTGATGATCTCTGAGAGTTCAAGGCCAGCCTGTTCCACAGAGTGAGTTTCAGAACAGCCAGAGAAGTCACAGAGAGAAACCCTATCTGGTAGGAGGGGGGGGTGCAAAAAAAAAAAAAAAGAAGCAAATTAAGTTAGGGTAGTATCCTTATATCTGTAATCCCAGCATTTAGGAGGCAAAGGCAGGAGAACCAACAGTTCAAAGTCATTCTCATCTACATAGCAAGTTCAAGGCCAGCCTGGGCTTCAGGGAACATACCCTAAATAAATAAATAGCCAGGCATGGTGTTGTTCACCTGTAATCTCAACATTGAGGGGTTGAAGCTGGAGGATATTAACAAACTTAAACAAACCAAAATAAACCAACAGAATAGAATGTTGGCACAGTAGCACATACTAATCCTGGCACTTGGAAGATTGAAGTAAGAAGATGGTGAGTTCCAAGCATCTGAGCTACATAAAATTAAATGGAATTGCAGATGTGATATCTCTTCCCTTTGTGTAGCTTCCTTCTCCCCAGTGTTAAGGCTTGTAAACAACTAGTTGGGCAGTCATTTGCTGATTTATCAAGGAGCAAGCCAAGTCTTGCCTGATAAGGATGTGGTACCTTTGTAGAGATAATCTCTGGGTTAGTAAATATTTTTTTCAGCCCCCTCTATACTACTTTTAATGCCAATTACAATGTAAGTGCTAAGTAAGTAGTTTTTGTGTTACTTTGTTTTGAGAACAATGCTATGAAAAAGTCCACATAATTCAGGTACAGTGACTGAAATGTACTTATGGAAAGGGGGCTTTAAAGAGGCCATCCTCTCGGGGTGCAGCGTGTTTATTTCAACTGTTCTCCAAAACACCTCTTTCTTCAGCAGGCTGGCCCCCTAGCTCTGACAATGAGGTAAGTTACCATTAAAGCAACTGAATTAAAACATCATGTCCTTTGAGAACATTTGGAAGGTAAATAATTTCCAACAGAGGTTACTGTTTCCCATCATATAAAAATACCTTCAGTAGGACCTGGAAGCTGGACGCTCAGCTATGTGTACCATAGACAATTCACCTATGGAGAGAAATTTTAACTGGGAATTCCTGCTGACTGCCTCAACTTCCCCAGTCAATTCTTGCTGGATGCTTGTGAGTTACCTTTTACTTTCTCAATCATGCTATCTCAGTTGTCCCTTGCTGGATGTTGAAAACTACTTATTCAATGATATTTTAATATCTGATTCTAAACTGACAGCACCGCTAGCACAGATCGTTCGTTCTTCAGACAGTACAGAACAGGTGTATACTCTTATAATCCTAACACTTGGGAAAGTAGAGGCAGCGATTTGTAAAGTTCCATACCAGCCTGGTTTAAGCAGTAAGACTGTCTCAAAAAAAGTGTTTTGTTTAAATCTAAGAGCATACTAAACCTGCAAGTATTAACCAATTCATATTTTCCTAAACCCAGTCTTATCTTGGTTCTCGTAGAGAAACTATTTAAAACAAATTTTCAAATGAATTTTAAGAAACAAGTCTATTCTTGTGTAATTGTATTTGCTTTCGTCTATGAAAACTGCTGGCCTAAATTCCTGTCAGGTTACTCACAAACGATGGATCTGCATGCTCACTGTTCTCACCTATTCCCAAGCTGGTGGACAGGAGCAAGTCAGCAAAACAGGCAAATCCATTTCTGTTAACGACAAGGTAGTGTAGGCTGGCCTAAAACTCGGTATGCAGCTGCAGATGATCTTGAACTTTTGGCCCTCCTGCCCTCTTCTAAGTGCTGTTCTTCCTAAGGATCCAGGCTTGATTTCTTCGAACCCACATGACAGCTCACAAACATTGACAAATCCAGATCTAGGTGATCTAACGCCCTCTTCTGACACTAGGCACCCACATGCTAGTATAAACCTGAGTTTCCAGCACATAGGAGACAGAGGCAGGATGAGATTCAAAGTCATGCTAGGCTACAGAACAAGTTTGAGGTCAGCATAGGACACAGTCCCAGAAAACCAACAACAAAAGCATACCACTAAATAGAATTCAGTATGCTTGTAATTGTGCTACCATTGTTACTGTGATTTTTGTTTTTTTCTTTTGAGACAGGGCTTCTCTGTGTGGTCCTGGCTGTCCTGGAACTTGTTCTGTAGACCAGGATGGCCTTGAACTCACAGAGATCTGTCTGCATCTGTCTTCAAAGTGCTGGGATTAAAGGCGTGCGCCACCACCTCACCGCTACACTATGTAGTCTTGACCGCTTGGAAATAGCTTTGAAGACCCCATCAACCTGTAATTTATGGCAATCCTCCTACCTCGCCTTCTGAGTGTTGGGATTACAGGCCTGTACAAGCAGCTGGGCACATTTATCACTTTCTGATCTGATTGGTTACAACCGCCTTTTTCCTAACTCCTAATCTTCCATGCTGTCTTTGTTACTTCATCTTAAGAACAAAAGCAGGATGCTCGTCTTTTAACCTAGATATCTTGATCTTTTCACATTGAGACACAGATGCCTTCTGCAAAGTTCATACTCTGAAAACTAGATAATCAGGTTACACATACCCCCTCATCTTTTACGTAAATCTATTATGTTTTTTTTTTTGGGGGGGGTGGGAAGCATTCACAGCTTATCTCGGAGCACAGGTTGGACTGCTACATGCTTTCACGAAGCCCAGAAAACAAGCATTCATCAGCACGAACTTCATCCCAGGCAGCTTTGCTAGGCCTTGTAAGTAGAAATGTATTATTACTAAAAGAGCCCTTTACCACCACGGTGTCTGGGCTCTAGACCCGTCTGTCAGTCCTGTCTTTTAAGTTGCTTTTCCAACTTTCAGGACAACCTCCTGGCAGGTAGGTGGCTGAGAGCCCGAACCCGGCAGCGCCCGCGATTGCTGTACTGACAGGTAACCCGCGCGGGCTTGGGCACTCCCGGAATGCACAGGTCTGCGACGCCACCAGCCGCTCGTTCCTCACCGGGCTGAGCAGGCGGGCGGTGTCTACCTCATCTTAGCGCTACTCGGCACCGGAAATGACTTAGCGAAGGCATTTCTGAAGTCCAGGAATCTATTTCTCCCCCGGCTCCTGCAAAGAGAGGCCGAGGGACAGCTCCGTACGCAGGTCACGCCTGCGCGGACTGACCAGCGGGCAGCAGGGTCACCGCTTCCGCTCCAGCGGACCGAGCCTCGGACTGCCGGCTCGGCGCCGCGCCCCAGCCCCGCTCCCCCACGCGGGCCGTGACGGAAGCGCGCAGGGGTGACCTCACCGTCCAACATGGCGTTGGCGGTAGATTAGGGCCGCGGTGCGAAGCAGCCACCGCCGCTCCCGGACCCTGTGGGAAGCACCTGCTGCGGCCGCCGTCTCCTTCATCCCTTCTGGGGCAGGGCTGGCGCCAGGTGAGGGGAGTGGGATTCCGGGAAGGTCCTGCTGGGTGGCGGAGCGGGTTTTCGCCCGCGGAGGAAGGGGGTCTAGAGACCCCCCGAGCCGACCGCCCGGTGCTGCCCCGGACGCGGGGAGAGCAGGCGGGAGGGAGCGAGGACCGAGCTGCTCTGCCGGGGCTTGTCGGGGCTTGTGGGCACTGCTCGGGGCTGGTGGACCTGTCCAGCGTGCCCCCACGGTGGGTGGCTTTTGGACGGGCTGTGTGGCTGGCTGCCTGCGGCGCCAGGGACTCACCCTTGCTCTCCATTCTGCCCCTCACCCAGACCTTCGCTCGGAGGACCGGGGTCCGTTTGGGGGTCTGGACTGGGAGACGTGCCTTCGTTCTTGGAGGAGGGAAGTGTGTGCCGTTCACTTAGGACGATTATAGATTAGCTTCGCTAGTGCTTTCTTGCCACAGCGCTCCGAGTCCTGTTTCTCAGGGTTAGCGCTGCAGTTTTGACACCCGTTCCCACTCCACCCCCAACCCCAGGACACCACAACCAACAGGCTTTCTTAACCCCGTGGAGGCGATGGATAACCGTTCACGCTCATTCTTCTTTGCCTTCTTAAAAATCCTCCCCATATCCCCACGGGATCTCTCATTTCTTGCCTTTATAGTATAGCGCCGTGCAGGAGGAAGCCTGGACTTTTTAAGCCCGGGCTTTTACTTTAAGGGGTAAAAATTGGACGACTCTGCCCAGCAATTCATATGCTCTTTGCTGATAGCTTTGTTAAGCAATTCACCATTCCCATGAACAAGTGTTTATCTCAAAGATCTGTCTTACACTCAGTGTTTAAAAGTTTTGAACTATGATGACAGGCCCCTCTTCTTTCTGATGTTTAAAAAAAAAAAACGCTTTGCAAAATTTCTAATATTTCCCTTGGAGGCTTGGCATAAACCAGAATGTTGACGCTCTCTGCCCTAACTTGTGTGACCTTACATGAATTGCCACACCCTTGAGATGCCTCCCCCTCCACCTTTTTTTTTTAACACACGGGAAAGTTAAGCAAGTTTGTGGGTAGGGAACCACTTATATTTCATACATGCAATTAGATTAATGTATCCTTCATGTTTATAACAGTGAATTGAAAATGCTTAAACTATTGTTCTGTATATAATAGGCAGATGAGGACTTCGCAGGTTCCCCTGCTCTGAATAATCAGGTACTATTCTAAATATTTTTTCCAGATAGCTCATAGTCCTTAAAATATCATTTGTTTTGTTTTGTTTTTTGATCTTATGTATCCCAGCTGAACTCATCCTCCTCCCTTCCTCCCTTGTATTGAGATCCAGGAGTACCCAACCATGTCTGTCCCTTTAAAAAATTGAATTAAACGTATTATTATTGTGGATGTAGATGTATGTTTGGATACACGTGTGTAGGGCAGTGGGTAACATTGTTTTTGGGGGAGTGGGGGGATGCAGGAAGGTTTTCTATATAGTCCTGGTTTTCCTGGAGCTTCCTGTATAGACCAGGATGGCCTCAAAGTCACAGACATCTGCCTGCCTCTACCTTTCAAGGCCTGTGCCACCATCCACAGCCAGTAGGCAACTTTGGTAGTTCTTTTTCTCTTTCCATCTTTATGTATGGGTTCTGGAGATTAAACTCAAGTTGCTTTTAACGCTGAATCATTTCATTAGCCCTTGGTTTGTTTTGAGACTGTTTCAGTCTGTGCTTCAGGCTAGCCTTGAACTTTTAGTAGTCCTCCTAAATCACCCTCCCTAGTGCTGGAATTCCAGGGGGGGCTGCCACACCTACCTTAAATGGCCTGTATCTTCAAGTGTGCCCTGGAAATTGAATTCAGCCAAATAATGTGTAAGGTTAAATCCAGCCATCTTTTTTTTTTTTTTCGTTTTGAGACAGGGTTTCTCTGTAGCTTTGGAGCCTGTTCTGGAACTCTCTCTGTAGACCAGGCTGGCCTCAAACTCACAGAGGTCTGCCTCCTGAGTGCTGGGATTAAAGGTGTATGCCACCACCATATGGCAAATCTAACCATCTTAAAAGGTGTTATTATTTGACAATTTTGCATAAGTATGTAGTTTGTTTTTGTCATTCCTACCCTCACTCCTTTTAACTTCTCATTCTTGTACTGCTCTCACTAAACAGCTTTTTCATCTTATAAAAGGCAGGCACTCCTGGGAATGTAAATACTGGGGAGGCTGGGTGAGATTGCTGGGAGACCACCCTGGGCTAAAAGTTAGACCCTGTCGTAAGAAAAAAAAAAAAAAAAAAAACAGGGCTGGAGAGATGGCTCAGTGGTTAGGAGCACATACTGCTTTTCCTGAGGACCTGGGTTTGATTCCCAGTACCCACATCAGACAGCTTACAACTGCCTGTAACCCTCACTCCAGGGGGTCTCACACCTCTGACCTTTGTGGGCACTTGTATTCATGTCCTTTAACACACTTTAAAATTTTTTTCTTCCTTTATTTTTTTTTGGGTGTGTGTGACAGGGTTTTATGTATCACAAGCTGATGTAGGGGTGAGTTGGTTCTCTGTTTCTACCGTGTGGATTCTGGGAATTGGTCAGACTTGGCAGCAAGCAGCTTTACTTACAATGGAGCCATCTTGTCACACTATCAAATGTTTTTCTGCATTGTTTCTTATGAAATATTTTAGACATAAAATTATTCTATGTGAGTGTTTTGCCTGTGTCTATGCGCACTCTGCGTGCCTGGTGCCAGCAGAGGTCAGAATAGGGAACACCTACAGGAACCGGAGGTCGGACGGCTGTGAATCACCATGTGGGTGCTGGGAACCAAACCCAGGTCCTCTGCAAGAGCAGCAGATACTCTTAACCTCCGAGCCTTCTCTTCAGCTCCAACACCAAGAATTTTTTAGATAGGGTGCCCCTATATAGTCCTTGTCTGGTCTTGAACTGTGATCCTCCTGTCTCAGCCTAAGTGGCTAGAATTACAGACCTGAACCACCCAAATCTGGGTCAAGAGTAATATTTTCAGAAGTTGGGTTTTTATATTAGGGATCAAACCACTGTCCTTTTACATGCTGAGAGCTCATGGAGATACACTCCAGCCCCTTTTGTTGTTACCTGCTTTTTGTTTTTGTGGTGCTGGTCATAGAATACAGGTCTTCAGGTTTTTATGTGCTCTACTTCTGAGCTACACACTTAATCCAATAGTAACTGAAATTTTTGTGTTGTTTTTATGAGAGAGCATCTCATACTGTATGTAGCTCAGGCTGGTCTGGAACTCACTGTGAGGCTCAGTCTGACTTCAAATTGGTGGCGATATTGCTTAGCCTTCTGAGTGATAGGATTACAGTTGTGATCCACTATGGCTGGCTGAGAGCAGCTCATTGTCTAGCAGCTTCACTGAGATATAATTAATTTACTATACTATTTACAGTTGTGTAATGTAATGACTTTTAGCACATTCAGAGTTGTGCAACCATTATTGGAGTTTTCATCACTTCTAAAAGAAACCCCATACCACTTGGCAATGGTTCTTCTGTTATTTTTTGAGACAAAAATCTCTGTGTGGCCCAGGCTTGAACTTTGGATACATTTGCCACAGTTTCATTGCTAGGGTTATAGGTGTATGCTACCATGCTTGGCGGTAGCCATTTTTTTATTCCTGCTCCTCTCACTTCTTTACCACATACAACCACTGATTTTCTTTTCTGCTTTTTAAGGCAGGCTCTCATTTTGTACTGATGGCTGGCCTTGAACTCTTAGCAGTCCTCTTGCCTCAGCCTCCAAAGTACTGAGATTGTAAATGTGAGCCATTACTTTATTCCTTTTTTAAAAAATGATTTATTTTATTTTATATGTGTTGGTGTTTTGCCTGCCTTCATGTCTTTGTGAGGGTGTCTGATCCCCTGGGACTGGAACAACACACAGTTGTGAGCTGCCTTGTAGGTGCTGGGAATTGAACCTGAGTCCTTTGGAAGAATAACCAGTGCTCCTAACAACTCTCAAGCCATCTACTTTATTTCTTTATTTATTTATGGTTTTTCAAGACAGGTTTCTCTGTGGCTTGGAGGCTGTCCTGGAACTTGCTTTGTAGACCAGGCTGGCCTCGAACTCACATAGATCTGCCTGCCTCTGCCTCCCCAGTGCTGGGATTAAAGGCTTGCGCCACCACCACCTGGCTATTCCTTTTCAAAGCTAAATGATGTTCCAGTGTGTAGAATTTGGCAGTGTGTGGACATATGACATTTTAGGGAACTTTTCTTTTCTTTTTAGCTTCCCCTTCATTTTCAGTTCTTCACTATGCCTTTTAAGGCAGGGACTTAACTATGTAGCCCTGGCTGGCTCGGAACTCACAGAAACAGCCTGCTTTTGCCTCCTGAGTGCTAGGTTTAAAAGGTATACACCACTATACCATTTGTTACTGTGTTTTTTTTTTTTTTTCCAGGGAAAAGATTTGAGATGGAACCTTGATGTGTAGATTACATTGACCTCAAACCTGAGATTTTCCTGTTTCCTTCTCCCCATGTGCTGCTAATACAGGCGTGTCCCCCAATTCTAGCCAATATTTTCTATTTTTCAGACAGTCTTTTTTTGTTTTGCTTTGATTTTTCAAGACAGGATTTCTCTGTGTAGCCCTGGCTGTCCTGGGACTTAGTCTGTATAGACCAGGCTGGCCTTGAACTCGGAGATCCATCTACCTCTGTCTCCCCTGAGTACTGAGATTAAAGGTGTGTACCACCACTGCCTGGCTGGACAATACCTTAAACTTATATCAGGTGACCCTCATACTTCATCTTCTCCAAGTATCTAGACATAGAGGTTTATACCTCAGTATCTAGTTTATGTGACTTATATTCTGAATATTACTTTTAATTATAGTGTCTCTGTGAGTGTGTGTATCCACCTGAGGAGGCAGAGGTGTTGAATTTCCTGGGATTGGAATATGCACAGTGTTGCACTGTGAGCTGCTAGACATAGTGCTGGGAATTGAACTTAGATCCTCTGCAAAATAATACATGCTCTTAAACATTAAGTCACCTCTTGAGACACCTACCTACCCTTATTTTTTAAATAAATTGAAAGTTGTTTCCTGCCAGATGGCAGTGGTGGCATACACCTTTAATTCCAGCGCTCGGGAGGCAGAAGCAGTTGGATCTCTATGAATTCGAGGCCAGCCTGATTATAAGAAGTGAGTTCCAGGACTGCCAGGGCTACATAGATAAACCCAGTCTCAAAAAACCAAAAGAACAACAACAAAAATGCTGTTTCCTTTGTGGCTATTATGTATAAAGTGACCTTGAACATTCAAGTACAAATTTTGGGTAGACATGTTTACATTTCTCTAGCATGTACCTAGAATGAAGCAGTCTGTATCTGAATTTTGTTTTGCTGTTATATGGGAAGATTAAAATACTTATTGTGAAAGTCAGAATCTGTGTGTACGGGGTAGGGTTTCATATTAGGAATTCCCCCGTGAGTGCTTTATCTGTGAATGCCAACTGCTGAGTACAGATATTTGGGGCAGTTGTTA